CTGAGTATTATCTTCGCTTTTTCATCATTCCAGTTCAATAAACTCTCGTACTCTGATCTCCATCTCACTGGGACGACACCCTCATCCCTACATACTGTTCCGTCCTCATTTGGAGGAATTCTCTTTTGCCTCTCACATCCCACTCCAACATTCAATCCACTGTGTTTAACGTATAGCCTTTTCATAAACATACCTAATTAGATCACTCACTAATTATACTGCAAAACAAATCAACCTTGGTCATCCTTGTGCGCTTGTTCAGTAATGATGATATTCGTGCATAGATCCAAGTGCACTCATTGTTTATATCGTGCTTGCTGCCCGGGAATTCTCCAATGATGCTACCTCCACCCCTCTCAGTGAAACAAGTTAACTAAAAGTAACTGGGATAGTCTCCAGCGAAGCGTTATCGCATTTAGTGAAAGGAACTTAGTTTATCATGGCAGACTTAGCTCTCTCACTTTCCCCTGTATACACACAAGCATTTACAACTTCACTTTCCCCTGCATACACACAAGCATTTACAACTTCACTTTCCCCTGTATACACACACGTATTTACAACTTCACTTTCCCCTGTATACACACATGCATTTACAACTTCACTTTCCCCTGTATACACACATGCATTTACAACTTCACTTACCCCTGTATACACACATGCATTTACAACTTCACACTCCCTTGTATACACACATGCATTTACAACTTCACTTTCCCCTGTATACACACATGCATTTACAACTTCACTTTCCCCTGTATACACACATGCATTTACAACTTCACTTTCCCCTGTATACACACAAGCATTTACAACTTCACTTTCCCCTGTATACACACAAGCATTTACAACTTCACTTTCCCCTGTATACACACAAGCATTTACAACTTCACTTTCCCCTGTATACACACAAGCATTTACAACTTCACTTTCCCCTGTATACACACAAGCATTTACAATTTCACTTTCCCCTGTATACACACATGCATTTACAACTTCACTTTCCCCTGTATACACACAAGCATTTACAACTTCACTTTCCCCTGTATACACACATGCATTTACAACTTCACTTTCCCCTGTATACACACAAGCATTTACAACTTTACTTTCCCCTGTATACACACACGCATTTACAACTTCACTTTCCCCTGTATACACACATGCATCTACAACTTCACTTTCCCCTGTATATCCACGTGCATATACAACTTTACTTTCCCCTGTATACACACAAGCATTTACAACTTCACTTTCCCCTGTATACACACATGCATTTACAACTTCACTTTCCCCTGTATATCCACGTGCATATACAACTTTACTTTCCCCTGTATACACACAAGCATTTACAACTTCACTTTCCCCTGTATACACACATGCATTTACAACTTCACTTTCCCCTGTATACACACATACATATACAACTTCACTTTCCCCTGTATACACACAAGCATTTACAACTTCACTTTCCCCTGTATACACACAAGCATTTACAACTTCACTTTCCCCTGTATACACACATGCATTTACAACTTCACTTTCCCCTGTATACACACATGCATTTACAACTTCACTTTCCCCTGTATACACACATGCATTTACAACTTCACTTTCCCCTGTATATCCACGTGCATATACAACTTTACTTTCCCCTGTATACCCACATGCATATACAACTTCACTTTCCCCTGTATACACACATGCATTTACAACTTCAATTTCCCCTGTATACACACATGCATTTACAACTTCACTTTCCCCTGTATACACACATGCATTTACAACTTCACTTTCCCCTGTATATCCACGTGCATATACAACTTTACTTTCCCCTGTATACACACAAGCATTTACAACTTCACTTTCCCCTGTATACACACATGCATTTACAACTTCACACTCCCTTGTATACACACATGCATTTACAACTTCACTTTACCCCTGTATACACACATGCATTTACAACTTTACTTTCCCCTGTATATCCACGTGCATATACAACTTCACACTCCCTTGTATACACACATACATTTACAACTTCACTTTCCCCTGTATACACACATGCATTTACAACTTCACTTTCCCCTGTATACACACATGCATTTACAACTTCACTTTCCCCTGTATATCCACGTGCATATACAACTTTACTTTCCCCTGTATACACACAAGCATTTACAACTTCACTTTCCCCTGTATACACACATGCATTTACAACTTCACACTCCCCTGTATACACACATGCATTTACAACTTTACTTTCCCCTGTATATCCACGTGCATATACAACTTCACACTCCCTTGTATACACACATACATTTACAACTTCACTTTCCCCTGTATACACACATGCATTTACAACTTCACTTTCCCCTGTATACACACATGCATTTACAACTTCACTTTCCCCTGTATATCCACGTGCATATACAACTTCACTTTCCCCTGTATACACACATGCATTTACAACTTCACTTTCCCCTGTATACCCGGTAACCTCCCAAAACCCCTACATCCCATATCCCCTACAGCTTAAGACAACAAAGTTCACGGTCCATGGCACTGCTAATCCCTAGTCTATTACCTATTTCATACAATGGAACAACCCAAGAAATACGAATAGATTGAGATAAATATTAAATTACGATTACGATATTATTCAAATTTCATAATACATTATAATAAAATGTTCATTTTTCAAAATTCATAATACATTATAATAAAATGTTCATTTTTCAAAATGCATAATACATTATAATAAAATGTTCATTTCTCAAAATTCATAATACATTATAACAAAATGTTCATTTTTCAAAATTCATACTACATTATAATAAATTTCATCTCAAATGTTCAATTCACTCTTTATCCCAGCCTGAGGAAATGGCCAACCGCATCTAGAAACTGCATTGGGGATTTCACCTCTCTATTCAACTCGTCTATTCAAGACGGTTCTCCACCTCTCTGTACACTCTCTTCCTGCCTCTTGGAGCTGCTCCAAAGTCGAGCTGTAAAATCTTAGCTCGTTCTGCCTGTTCCACCTTCCTGACTACCTCCACAAATCAGTAGATGTTGGGATGTCGGTGAGGGAGACCTCGGTTGAGTCGGTTATAAAAGCCTTCCAGGTTGTTGGTCGTCCTGGGATCTGTTGTACCGTGATGTTTCCACAGTGGTAGGGGGAATCGTGCTCCGTGGTCGACCCAGGTAGTGACGATGCTCTCGGTACATCTGGTGTGGTGTCCGTTGCGTCAACCCACGTGTCCTCTGTAGCATTCCTTATCACGGTTACTACTGTCGTGAGTCTTCCTCTACATGTGGACTTGACACACTACCAGTGTACGCAAGTCAGTCTCTCGACGTTCTTAGTGTGAAGATAACCATCAAAAAGGACTTGGGGCTTTCCTCTCTGTGACATAACAAACTCAACATAGCGAAGCCCAGACATGTTGATGTCATGTTAGTCAGTTTCAAGTATCTATATACTAAACCTAGCCATCTCAACTGTAAATCGTCCATCTCAGTTTCTCAGTGTAATAATTGTTTCTTCCTATTGTTATTTTTGTAATTTTTAAAAATTGTCTTCTCATCATATAGGCATCTTTCATTACACTTACATTATTTAAATTTTTTTTTTTAAAATCCCCTAGTCCCCTAAAGCTCTACCCCTTTCATTTCTACTACCTCTACTCCAGACCTTAATCTCTCCTTTAGGTGAGTTCATAATACCAGACAGGTAAATGCCGCGTGTTGTTTTAACTAATTGTAGGGGAACTGGGTTGTAGGGGAAATGGGATGTAGGGGTTTTGGGAGATAACCGTATACCCACATGCATTTACAACTTCACACTCCCTTGTATACACACACGCTTTTACAGCTGCACTTACTTCAGTTTCGCACTTATTACCTAGCAACCACTGTGAACAAAGAACCTGCACACAACTGGGACTGGCCCATGGTGTATTTTAGTGGTGTACCTTAAACCGTAACAGCTATGTAAAATCCCACAAGCTTTCGGTTTTAATTCAGCACTGTGGCGGTTGTGGGAACGGGAGGTATGTATTGTAGTGACAGTAACTGAGTTTCACGTTAATTTGATCAAACCTTCCGATATCGGCACATAAGAACGATATTGATAGGATTTTTAATATCCTGATTAGTGATATGACGTCACATTGCCCTTTGTTGAGAACAAAATGATTTGGCATATTTTATAGTTATTCAGGTGGTCAATAATTTATGGCGAAACGTAATAATACACGGACTACATTGTCTGTTGGGTTGATACATCATACTGTTGTGTGTGTGTATGTGTGTCTTGTATTTACTTTCGCGAACTATCAATGCGTAATGTAATATATATGAAGAATAACCAACATTTATTCACTCGGGACAGAAAATGCTACTTGGTTCGTTTTTTATTCTATAAATATTCCATACTTACCGATTATATTTCTGTGTGTGTGTTTATTTATTTACTTTCCTGAACTATCAATGCGTAATATATACTTAGAATAACCAACTCGATGAGAAAAAGGACCAACATTAATTGACTGGAGACAGAAAATGCTACTTGGTTCGTTTGTTATTCTCTAAATATTCCTTACTTACAGCTTCCCTAGCTTCCGAGTATTCTACTCAAACCTATGACGAAGGTGTATATTTAAAGGGCTTATCGTGTGTTGTATACAATAATAAACTAGTGTTTCTTAGATAAATATGCTGTAGAGGTATGATTCAGGTCAGCGAAAATAGTGAGGCCAAATACATATCCTATCTGTTGTATCTTTATATAGACACACTCCTGTCATCTTACAGTGTATGAACTGTGTCGATGCGGTCTATAGTAAACATGCTTCTTTAGAAATTGGGGCGTCTCTTTATATCTTGTGCCCATGAGAGGTGTAGTATTTATACGAGTACATCGCTGTCTGTAAGCTATACTTGAATTATATAGTATATATATATAGTTCACCTAAATTGCTAAATGCTTTATGGAGCTAGGGAGTATCATCATTATCACATGTACTGGTAGCTGGAGCTATGGGAGTATCATCATTATCACATGTAGTGGTTGGTGGAACTATGGGAGTATCATCATTATCATCTGTAGTGGTAGCTGGTGCTATGGGAGTATCATCATTTTCACATGTAGTGGTTGGTGGAACTATGGGAGTATCATCATTATCATCTGTAGTGGTAGCTGGTGCTATGGGAGTATCATCATTTTCACATGTAGTGGTTGGTGGAACTATGGGAGTATCATCATTATCATCTGTAGTGGTAGCTGGTGCTATGGGAGTATCATCATTATCACATGTAGTGGTTGGTGGAACTATGGGAGTATCATCATTATCACATGTACTCGTAGCTGGAGCTATGGGAGTATCATCATTATCACATGTAGTGGTTGGTGGAACTATGGGAGTATCATCATTATCATCTGTAGTGGTAGCTGGTGCTATGGGAGTATCATCATTATCACATGTAGTGGTTGGTGGAACTATGGGAGTATCATCATTATCATCTGTAGTGGTAGCTGGTGCTATGGGAGTATCATAATTATCACATGTAGTGGTTGGTGGAACTATGGGAGTATCATCATTATCACCTGTAGTGGTAGCTGGTGCTATGGGAGTATCATCATTATCACATGTAGTGGTTGGTGGAACTATGGGAGTATCATCATTATCATCTGTAGTGGTAGCTGGTGCTATGGGAGTATCATCATTATCACATGTAGTGGTTGGTGGAACTATGGGAGTATCATCATTATCATCTGTAGTGGTAGCTGGAGCTATGGGAGTATCATCATTATCACATGTAGTGGTTGGTGGAACTATGGGAGTATCATCATTATCATCTGTAGTGGTAGCTGGTGCTATGGGAGTATCATCATTATCACATGTAGTGGTTGGTGGAACTATGGGAGTATCATCATTATCATCTGTAGTGGTAGCTGGTGCTATGGGAGTATCATCATTATCACATGTAGTGGTTGGTGGAACTATGGGAGTATCATCATTATCACCTGTAGTGGTAGCTGGTGCTATGGGAGTATCATCATTATCACATGTAGTGGTTGGTGGAACTATGGGAGTATCATCATTATCATCTGTAGTGGTAGCTGGTGCTATCGGAGTATCACCATTATCACATGTAGTGGTTGGTGGAACTATGGGAGTATCATCATTATCATCTGTAGTGGTAGCTGGTGCTATGGGAGTATCATCATTATCACATGTAGTGGTTGGTGGAACTATGGGAGTATCATCATTATCATCTGTAGTGGTAGCTGGTGCTATGGGAGTATCATCATTATCACATGTAGTGGTTGGTGGAGCTATGGGAGTATCATCATTAACACATGTAGTTGTTGGTGAAGCTATGGGAGTATCATCATTATTACATGTAGTGGTTGGTGGAACTATGGGAGTATCATCATTATCATCTGTAGTGGTAGCTGGTGCTATGGGAGTATCATCATTATCACATGTAGTGGTTGGTGGAACTATGGGAGTATCATCATTATCATCTGTAGTGGTAGCTGGTGCTATGGGAGTATCATCATTATCACATGTAGTGGTTGGTGGAACTATGGGAGTATCATCATTATCACATGTACTCGTAGCTGGAGCTATGGGAGTATCATCATTATCACATGTAGTGGTTGGTGGAACTATGGGAGTATCATCATTATCACCTGTAGTGGTAGCTGGTGCTATGGGAGTATCATCATTATCACATGTAGTGGTTGGTGGAACTATGGGAGTATCATCATTATCATCTGTAGTGGTAGCTGGTGCTATGGGAGTATCATCATTATCACATGTAGTGGTTGGTGGAACTATGGGAGTATCATCATTATCATCTGTAGTGGTAGCTGGTGCTATGGGAGTATCATCATTATCACATGTAGTGGTTGGTGGAACTATGGGAGTATCATCATTATCACCTGTAGTGGTAGCTGGTGCTATGGGAGTATCATCATTATCACATGTAGTGGTTGGTGGAACTATGGGAGTATCATCATTATCATCTGTAGTGGTAGCTGGTGCTATGGGAGTATCATCATTATCACATGTAGTGGTTGGTGGAACTATGGGAGTATCATCATTATCATCTGTAGTGGTAGCTGGTGCTATGGGAGTATCATCATTATCACATGTAGTGGTTGGTGGAACTATGGGAGTATCATCATTATCATCTGTAGTGGTAGCTGGAGCTATGGGAGTATCATCATTATCACATGTAGTGGTTGGTGGAACTATGGGAGTATCATCATTATCATCTGTAGTGGTAGCTGGTGCTATGGGAGTATCATCATTATCACATGTAGTGGTTGGTGGAACTATGGGCGTATCATCATTATCACCTGTAGTGGTAGCTGGTGCTATGGGAGTATCATCATTATCACATGTAGTGGTTGGTGGAACTATGGGAGTATCATCATTATCATCTGTAGTGGTAGCTGGTGCTATGGGAGTATCATCATTATCACATGTAGTGGTTGGTGGAGCTATGGGAGTATCATCATTATCATCTGTAGTGGTAGCTGGTGCTATGGGAGTATCATCATTATCACATGTAGTGGTTGGTGGAACTATGGGAGTATCATCATTATCATCTGTAGTGGTAGCTGGTGCTATGGGAGTATCATCATTATCACATGTAGTGGTTGGTGGAACTATGGGAGTATCATCATTATCATCTGTAGTGGTAGCTGGTGCTATGGGAGTATCATCATTATCACATGTAGTGGTTGGTGGAGCTATGGGAGTATCATCATTAACACATGTAGTTGTTGGTGAAGCTATGGGAGTATCATCATTATTACATGTGGTGGTAGTTTCAGTTATGGGAGTATCATCATTATCACATGTAGTGGTAGGTGGACATGAGGAAGTATCATCATTATCACATGTAGTGGTAGGTGGAGCTATAAGAGTATCATCATTATCACATGTAGTAGTAGGTGGAGCTATGGAAGTATCATCATTATCACATGTAGTAGTAGGTGGACCTGAGGAAGTATCAACATTATCACATGTAGTGGTAGGTGGAGCTATAAGAGTATCATCATTATCACATGTGGTAGTAGGTGGAGCTATGGAAGTATCATCATTATCACATGTGGTAGTAGGTGGAGCTATGGGAGTATCATTATTATCAGATGTAGTAGTAGGTGGAGCTATAGGAGTATCATCATTATCACATGTAGTAGTAGGTGGACCTGAGGAAGTATCATCATTATGACATGTAGTGGTAGGTGGAGCTATAAGAGTTTCATCATTATCACATGTAGTAGTAGGTGGAGGTACGGAAGTATCATCATTATCACATGTAGTAGTAGGTGGAGCTATGGGAGTATGATCATTATCACATGTAGTAGTAGGTGGACCTGAGGAAGTATCATCATTATCACATGTAGTAGTAGGTGGAGCCATAAGAATATCATCATTATCACATGTAGTAGTAGGTGGAGCTATGGAAGTATCATCATTATCACATGTAGTGGTAGGTGGAGCTATGGAAGTATCATCATTATCACATGTAGTAGTAGGTGGAGCTATAAGAGTATTATCATTATTACATGTAGTAGTAGGTGGAGCTATGGAAGTATCATCATTATCACATGTAGTAGTAGGTGGAGCTATAGGAGTATCATCATTATCACATGTAGTAGTAGGTGGAGCTATGGGAGTATCATCATTATCACATGAAGTGGTAGGTGGAGCTATGGGAGTAACCTCATTATTACATGTAGTGGTAGGTGGAGCTATGGGAGTATCATCATTATCACATGTAGTAGTAGGTGGAGCTATGGGAGTATCATCATTATTACATGTAGTGATGGGTGGAGCAGTGGGAGTATTATCATTTTCAAATAGCTTGTGTTTGGTTGGTCTGAGGAAGAATCAACACGATAGTCACGATATGACTGAAATAGTGTCGATGTACTATAAATCTTAATTCTCTCACTCACTATGCTGCAAAACAAAATCCACCTGGGTCATCCCTTCGTGCTTTCTCAGTCATGATGACATTCGTGCATAGATACAAGTGCACTGCCAGGGAATTCTCCGAGGATGCTTTTTTACGCACTGACAGTGAAACAAGCTCCAATGCTTGGCTAAAAATAACTGGGATAGTCTCCATGGCAGACTAAGCTCTCTCGTTCTCTCTCCCTTGTATATACAAATGCATCTACAACTGCATTTACAACTGCATTTACAACCGCGCTCTCCCTTGTATACACACATGCATTAACAACTGCACTAACCTCAGTCTCGCGCACGTTACACAGCATCCAAATTGAACAAAGATCCTGCACACAACTGGGACTGGCCCATGGTCTATTTTTAGAAGTGTATCTTGAACCGTCACAGCTTTATAAAATACTACGCACTTTCGGTTTTAATTCAGTACTGTGGCGGTTGTGGTAACGGGAGGTATGTATTGTAGTTGCAGTATCTGAACTTGACGTGAATTTGTTGAAACATTCCGATATCGGCACATATGCATTATGATGGTAGGGTTCTTTATATGCTGATTAGTGTTAATATCAAAATACTATGACGTTATAGTTAGTCATGTCGTCAACAATTTATGGCGAAACGTAATAATACGCGGACTGCATTGTCTGTAGAGATGATACTTAATACCATTTTTATTTTATTTGTGTGTGTGTGTGTGTGTGTGTGTGTGTGTGTGTGTGTGTGTGTGTGTGTGTGTGTGTGTGTGTGTGTGTGTGTGTGTGTGTGTGTGTTGTATTTACCTTCAAGAAGTATCAATGCATAATATAAACTTAGAATAACCAACTCTAAAATGCTAAAAAAAGGACCAACATTAATTCACAAAAAATGTTCTTGGTCCGTTGGTTATTCTCTAAATATTCCATACTTCCATAGCTTCACCATATTCAACTGAATGCTTGCCGCAAAAGGCAACTATGCTTATCTAAAGAGGCGATTAACGAGATCGGGTGGTCAGGCTCGCTGACTTGGTTAATACATTTACGAGGATCGATGCTCATGACATCAATCACTGGATTGTCTGGTCCAGACTCGATTATTTCTAGACCGCCGTCATATAGCTGGAATATTGCTGAATTCGGCGTTAAACACCAAAGAAATATATAACAAAGAAACCTATGACGGAGGTGTATATTTAAAGGGCTTATCGTGTGTTGGATATACAAATAAACTTTTGTTGCTTAGATGAATATGCTGTAGAGGTATGATTCAAGTCAGAGAACTTGATACGAAAATAGTGAAGCCAAATACATACTATGTGTTGTATCTTTATATAGACACGACGTTGTCGTCTTACACTGTATGAACTGTATCGCTGCAGTCTATAGTAAACATGCTTCTTTAGAAGTTAGGGGTCTCTGTATATCTTGTTGCCATGCGGGTAATGGTATTTCTACCTCGTTGTCTGTTAGTAGTGATGTGCTAAATCATTTGCTATATTTTGAATTCTATATAGTTGACATAAATTGTTAAATGCTTTTTGGAGCTAATCAGTATCATTATTATCACATATAGTGCTAGACGGAGCTATGGGAGTCTCAACATTATCACATGTGGCGGTAGGTGGAGCTATAGGTATCACAATTATTACATGTAGTGGTAGGTGGAGCAGTGGGAGTATCATAATTATCACATATGGTGATAGACGGAGCTATGGGAGTATCAACATTATCGCATGTAGTGGTAGGTGGAGCTATAGGTATCACCATTATCACATATAGTGCTAGACCGAGCTATGGGAGTATCAACATTATCACAGGTAGTGGTAGGTGGAACTGTGGGAGTATCATCATTATCACATGAAGTAGTAGGTGGAGCTATGGGAGTATCATCATTATCATCTGTAGTGGTAGGTGGAGCTATGGGAGTATCATCATTATCACAGGTAGTAGTAGGTGGAGTTATGGGAGTATCATCATTATCACATGTAGTGGTAGGTGGAGTTTTTGAAGTATCATCATTATCACATGTAGTGGTAGTTGGAGCTGTGGGAGTATCATCATTATCACATGAAGTAGTAGGTGGAGCTATGGGAGTATCATCATTATCATCTGTAGTGGTAGGTGGAGCTATGGGAGTATCATCATTATCACAGGTAGTAGTAGGTGGAGTTATGGGAGTATCATCATTATCACATGTAGTGGTAGGTGGAGTTTTTGAAGTATCATCATTATCACATGTAGTGGTAGTTGGAGCTGTGGGAGTATCATCATTATCACATGTAGTGGTAGGTGGAGCTATGGGAGTATCATCATTATCACATGTAGTGGTAGCTGGAGCTATGGGAGTATCATCATTATCACATGTAGTAGTAGGTGGAGCTATGGAAGTATCATCATTGTTACATTTAGTGGTAGGTGGAGCTTTGGGAGTATCATCATTATCACATGTAGTGGTAGATGGAGCTATGAGACTATCATCATTATCACATGTAGTGATGGGTGGAGCTATGGAACTTTCATCATTATCACATGTAGTGGTAGATGGAGCTATGGAAGTATCATCATTATCACATGTAGTAGTAGGTGGAGCTATGGGAGTATCATCATTATCGCATGTAGTAGTAGGTGGAGCTATGGAAGTATCATCATTGTTACATTTAGTGGTAGGTGGAGCTTTGGGAGTATCATCATTATCACATGTAGTGGTAGATGGAGCTATGAGACTATCATCATTATCACATGTAGTGATGGGTGGAGCTATGGAACTTTCATCATTATCACATGTAGTGGTAGATGGAGCTATGGAAGTATCATCATTATCACATGTAGTAGTAGGTGGAGCTATGGGAGTATCATCATTATCGCATGTAGTGGTAGGTGGACCTGAGGGAGTATCATCATTATCGCATGTAGTGGTAGGTGGACCTGAGGGAGTATCATCATTATCACATGTAGTGGTAGATGGAGCTATGGGAGTATCATCATTATCACATGTAGTAGTAGGTGGAGCTATGGAACTATCATCATTATCACATGTAGTGGTAGGTGGACCTGAGGGAGTATCATCATTTTCACATGTAGTGGTAGATGGAGCTATGGGAGTATCATCATTATCACATGTAGTAGTAGGTGGAGCTATGGGAGTATCATCATTATCGCATGTAGTGGTAGGTGGACCTGAGGGAGTATCATCATTTTCACATGTAGTGGTAGATGGAGCTATGGAACTATCATCATTATCACATGTAGTGGTAGGTGGAGCTATAGGAGTATCATCATTATCACATGTAGTAGTAGGTGGACCTGAGGGAGTATCATCATTATCACATGTAGTGGTAGGTTGAGCTATGAGACTATCATCATTATCACATGTAGTGGTAGATGGAGCTATGGAAATATCATCATTATCATATTAAGTGGTAGGTGGAACTATGGGAGTATCATCATTATCATATCAAGTGGTAGGTGGAGCTATGGGAGTATCATCATTATCATATTAAGTGGTAGGTGGAGCTATGGGAGTATCATCATTATCATATTAAGGAGTAGGTGGAGCTATGGGAGTATCATCATTATCATATTAAGTGGTAGGTGGAGCTTTGGGAGTATCATCATTATCATATTAAGTGGTAGGTGGAGCTAACGGAGTATCATCATTATCATATTAAGTGGTTGGTGGAGCTATGGGAATATCACCATTATCAGATGTAGTTGCGGGTGGATCTATGTCAGTGTCACACTATGATAGTTTGGATATATATAGTTATAGTTATAGGGATTCAGGGGTTGGTGGAGCTACAAAATGTATGTTAGTATCATCCATGTTATATCTAGTGGATGGTGGAGCTATGTTAGTATGACCCATATCATGTTAGTATCATCTATATCATGTTAGTATCATCCATATCATGTTAGTATCATCCATATCATGTTAGTATCATCCATATCATGTTAGTATTACCCATATCATATCTTGTGGTTGCTGGAGCTTTATAGGTATCACTACTGTAACAGGTAGTGGAGCTATATAAGTATAATTGCTATTACATGTAGTGGTTGGTGGAGCTATGTAATCATCATCCATATCATATCTAGTTGTTAGTGGAGTTAATAATTCAGTATCATCGCTATAATAGGTAGTTGTTGGTGGAGCTATGTTTGTATGATCGATATCATGTCAGTATTATCCATATCATGTCTAGTGGTTGGTGGAGCTTTGTTTGTATCATCGCTAAAATAAGTAGTGGTTGGTGGAACTATGTTAGTATCATCCATATCATGTTAGTATCATCCAAATCATATCTAGTGGCTGGTGGAGCTATGTTTGTATCATCGCTATAATAGGTAGTGGTTGGATGAGCTATGTTTGTATCATCCATATCATGTTAGTATCATCCGTATCATGTAAGTATCATCCATATCATGTAAGTATCATCCATATCATATCTAGTGGCTGGTGGAGCTATGTTTGTATCATCGCTATAGTAGGCAGTGGTTGGTGGAGCTATCTAAGTATCATCCATATCATGTTAGTATCATCCATATCATATCTAGTTGCTGGTGGAGCTATGTTAGTATTATCGCTATAATAAGTAGTGGTTGGTGGAGCTATATAAGTATGATCGCTATAATAGGTAGTGGTTAGTGGAGCTATGTAAGTATCATCCATATCATGTTAGTATCATCCATATCATATCTAGTGGTTGGTGGAGCTTTGTTTGTATCATCGCTATAATAGGTAGTGGTTGGTGGAACTATGTTAGTATCATCCATATTATGTTAGTATCATCCATATCATGTTAGTATCATCCATATCATGTTAGTATCATCCATATCCTATCTAGCGGTTGGTGGAGCTATGTTTGTATCATCGCTATAATAGGTAGTGGTTGGTGGAGCTATGTTAGTATCATCCATATCATGGTAGTATCATCCATATCATATCTAGTGGCTGGTGGAGCTATGTTTGTATCATCGCTATAATAGGTAGAGGTTGGTGGAGCTATGTAAGTATCATCCATGTCATGTTAGTATCATCCATATCATATCTAGTGGCTGGTGGAGCTATGTAAGTATCATCGCTATAATAGGTAGTGGTTGGTGGAGCTATGTAAGTATCATCCATATCATGTTAGTATCATCCATATCATATCTAGTGGTTGGTGGAGCTATGTTTGTATCATAGTTATAATAGGTAGTGGTTGGTGGAGCTATGTTTGTATCATAGTTATAATAGGTAGTGGTTGGTGGAGCTATGTTTGTATCATCGCTATAATAGGTAGTGGTTGGTGGAGCTATGTTTGTATCATCGCTATAATAGGTAGTTGTTGGTGGAGCCATGTTTGTATCATCGCTATAATAGGTAGTGGTTGGTGGAGCTATGTTAGTATCATCCATATCATGTTAGTATCATCCATATCATATCTAGTGGTTGGTGGAGCTATGATAGTATCATCGCTATAATAGGTAGTGGTTGGTGGAGCTATGTAAGTATCATCCATATCATATCTAGTTGTTAGTGGAGTTAATAATTCAGTATCATCGCTATAATAGGTAGTTGTTGGTGGAGCTATGTTTGTATCATCCATATCATGTTAGTATCACCCATGTCATATCTAGTGGTTGGTGGAGCTATGTTTGTATCATCGCTATAATATGTAGTTGTTTGGTGGAGCTATATAAGTATGATCGCTGTAATAGGTAGTGGTTAGTGGAGCTATGTAAGTATCATCCATGTCAAGTTAGTATCATCCATATCATATCTAGTGGTTGGTGCAACTATGTTTGTATCATCGCTATAATAGGTAGTGGTTGGTGGAGCTATGTTTGTATCATCGCTATAATAGATAGTTGTTGGTGGAGCTATGTTTGTATCATCCATATCATGTTAGTATCATCCATATCATATCTAGTGGTTGGTGGAGCTATGTTTGTATCATCGCCATAATAGGTAGTGGTTGGTGGAGCTATGTAAGTATCATCCATATGATGTTAGTATCATCCATATCATATCTAGTGGCTGGTGGAGCTATGTTAGTATCATCGCTATAATAGGTAGTGGTTGGTGGAGCTATGTTAGTATCATCCATATCATGTTAGTATCATCCATATCATGTTAGTATCATCCATATCATGTCAGTATCATCCATATCATATCTAGTGGTTGGTGGAGCTATGTTAGTATCATCGCTATAATATAGGTAGTGGTTTTTGGAGCCATGTTAGTATTATCCATATCATGTGAGTATCATCCATATCATGTTAGTATCATCCATACCATATCTCGTGGTTGGTGGAGCTATGTAGGTATCATCGCTATAATAGGTACTGGTTGGTGGACCCATGGACGTATTATAAACATTTGGAATTTTATTTCGAAAATAGGTATGCTTTTCAAGATAACTCTAGGGATATTTACTGAGCTGTTTGACCTACTCACTCGGGTAAATGTAATGTACCCTGGTCTGTATAGCTCTAGGCTTTTGAAACCAGTGCTCTTTGTGTGTCTATCACCTCGAATGAAAGGTCATTTATAATCTAAGGATATTTGTGCCGTTTTTTAACAGTTAAAAAACATGAGACCTACGCTGCTATTTCTGGTGCTTGTGGCCGTGCTTACGCCTGTCTCCATTGGGAAGCCAGTCAACAATGACGCTCACTTCAGGCAAAGACGAGGTATGTAAAATAACCCCTCTTTTTACAATACATGCTTTGTGGTTGTGGAGAATCAAACCCAGGTCTTCGGCGTGACGAATTATCGCTCAGTTCAGTCGTCTAAGACGCAATAATTTGCCGTTTACCTCCAAGGCACGCCAGAAACCCATGATCGTTGATTCGAATCCCAGTTATGCGTCCAAGTTGTCAGCACCATGACCATGGGGTATTTATACGTCTGATAAATGGCTCACTTCGGGATTTCTTACCATATGAAGCTGACACCTTGTTGAATAATTAAACCTCGTGAAAGCAAGCTGATTCATTGAGCTATGTATTTTACTTGTCTTTCTTAATGTGTGTTTTTTTCTTCAGACGAAGAGCATACAAGGCAGAAACGTTTTGTTTTGAAGGCCATCAAGGAAGTTGGGTGCGGAGCCTACACTGCCGTCAGAGAATGTACTAGCGACTTTGAGTCATGCGGACAGTTTTGTGCCTTTGTGGATTCAGTATGTAGTGTTGTGTCAATGTCTAGTGGCGCCGTGTCACTAATATGTAATACCGATGTGGGAAACTATGAACGTACCGTTTTGGATGACTACCGACAGAGCAATCACGGATCTCGTACAGATGCTGAAAGATTCATCATGAAACTTGGCGAAGACATTGAACACCTACCAAAATCGTTCTGGGAGAAATTGGCCAATTTCTTCAAAAATCTCTGGAAAACCATCCGTGGATGGTTTTCCTAATTTGATATCCCATTTTTTACGTAAAGAGGAATTCAATTCTCCAAATTTGTTTTGTACATATTTGCACATACATTGTAGTTTTGTTTTATTATGTGGTGCCTACTGCATCAGTGTTTAGTGTACTATTCTGGTCACACAATGCAAGGCGGATTCTGTTTTCCTTGCATGATATAAGATATAGGACACTGCTTTTTGATATTGTAATTACAGTCTAGTTTTTGTCATCCTTATGACTGAGGCATCAAAGGCCACATTTACTCAAGTCATTTAACTGCCTTGGATTTATTACAGTTAGTCCAGTTTTGTAAACTATGTCTTGAGTGGAATAGTTATCTTTAAAACAACGGTTTCGACAGACCCTGAAATGCAAATAGAGGAGAGACAAAGGAAGTGAGATGAGTTTATCGCCGTGTTTATATTGCCCTTTTATACCTTTCATATCGAGTTTATGTGCAGTGTGTTGAGAAGATCAGCAACCCTGTAGAGTCCTTATCTGTTTGCTGCTCAGGACCAGTCACTTCCCACTCGAAACCGTCAATGTTGGATTTTGCATCAAAATTTGAATATGAAATGTAGATTATGCAATAAATTTAATGAGACTGTCCAACACATTGTCAGTGTATGCCACAGTATCTTAAGCGACACGATGGAGTGGCTCGGTTCTTTTATTACCGTCGTCGCCATGCTTGTGGTTTTGACACAGAGGTCCGTCCATGGTACGACCCTGAATATGTAGAGGGCGTCATGGAAAATGAGAAATACAAAATTCTTTGAAATAGGCCCGTATACAGCCTCAAACAAATCAGGCCAACAAACCTGATCTTCTTCTTTTTATAAATCCAATGAAATCATTTGTATCATTAAACTTTCTGTCCCTTTTGACACTAATGTGATTTGCAGTATTCAGGAAAAACAAGGTAAATATGCGGACCTCGCTTTCGAAATATCACGCTTGCATCCAAAATACCGAGTTATCCGACTCCCCCTTGTTCTCGGTGCCTTAGGTTTGGTACCTCCAAATCTGTTGTCTGACATTGGGAGAGTACCCGGGTTTGCTACCAGGAATACAGCCCTTCTGAAAGGCTGCAGTGTTGTGGACTCTTCACATTCTTCGAAACGGTCTGGGTGGGTTCGACTAGGCAGCGCTTCCTGGGAGAGCCCCATCCGTTGTCTGGGCTGCGTGTAGATGGGGCAAGGGCCCTGAGCCGATGATGAGGCTAACCAGCCTGACTGTGCAAGGATCACCCAAACCCTCGTTTGCTTCATTTTTTTATTTTAATCTGACATCCGTCACTTTGAGACTCGACAGAGCTCGACATCATTGCTAACGAACTGACTGGTAACGTTTCATGATTCATGTTAAATGTTGACCCCCGTTGGTGTTCCGGGTTAGAACAACTCCACAGCACCCTGTGTGGTCATAAAAGGCGACGCAATTGATCAGGTTACCTCGAAGGCGTGGATCGTTGCACACCTTACCAATTTATAGTCAAGGCTCGATTATTAACAGGTCATGTAACTCGAGTAATGCGGCGTTAGAAAACATACAAACAAACAAACAAATGTTAATTTCCTAATCCTCAGGGCAGATGGTTGGTCGAGTCAGGGGAGAGGGGACACCCGTTGTCTTGAGGCGCAGGACTTCGATTTGCAGACTTGCGCCTCTTAGGCCTGCCTGAAACCTATGATCGTGGGTTCCAATCCAAGATTATGTTTCTAGGTTTGTTGGCACCATACCGCACTCGTAGGTTTCACCGAAGTGGTAAACGTCTAATTATATCATATCTTCATTCAACATGAAGCTGACAGGCCGTGATATAACTGACATATATAGTGTTCAAACCTGCGTTAAACCCAGCTCATTCAGACGCAGTTGTGGAAGGAATCTTTGTTTGAGGACCATCCTTGGTTTAGTCCGATATTGTTTAATTATTGGGGCTTCATGGGTAGAATAGGTCTATATTCCATTTATTCCATTCCAACCAGCTACACGGTTGGTTATTGTCTTCCTCGATTCCCAGTGTTTTTCGATTTATGTGAATCGATTTAACACCAGTTTAAGCGTTAAATAATTTGAAAACGTAAGGTACTATATCATTAGAAAATGGATAATTTGGTTATTGTGAGTTTCGTGCAGTTAGTTGTTTAGTTATATCATGGTGTACCAGTTTATGGGGGGAGATATCAGTAATATCACTATCTTCCCAGCCTACACACAGCAAATAATATACACGTTACTCTATTGGACCGTATGTAATAGCACCGACTTATCATGAATTCAGAAACAAATAGGAATCCAAAAATAGTGTATTCTTGGTTCCACACGTAGTATACAAAAATGAGACGAAAACAAAAGCAACAATGTCAGGCTTGGTTAAATTGTTCATTGATCGTTAACGTGAAAAAGACAATGTGAACATACGCTAACTGTGTATTGGACCTGTAATGTAAGAGGAACAATGACACACTAAATGTTTATTGATCTTTTAATGTAAAATTTGACAACATGGTTCGGTGAGTGTTTATTGATCGTATAATAAGAAAGAACCTATTACTACAAGCTAATTGTGTATTGATGTTGTGACATAAAAGACACAAATATGTGCTTATTGTGAATTGATCTCGTGGAACGTGAAAAGCTTTGTAATTTCCAATCTGTATTAACAGTATTCATGTTGTGTGTACATGTTTAATAAAAAAATTTGCTTTATAACTAAAACAACATTGTATGACACTTTTTAACCACGGAAAACTTTCTGAACTAGGTATTGCCATTCGTCCTTCCTAGTGACAATGATTTTGCCAAGTGGTACTGTATATCGTTCTTCCTAGTGACAATGACTTTGCCCAGTAGTACTGTATATCGTTCTTCCAAGTGACAATGACTTTGCCAAGTAGTACTGTGGATCGTTCTCCCTAGTGACAATGACTTTCCCCAGTAGTACTGTGGATCGTTCTTCCTAGTGATAGTGACTTTCACCAGTAGTACTGTGGATCGTTCTTCCTAGTGATAATGACTTTCACCAGTAGTACTGTGGATCGTTCTTCCTAGTGACAATGACTTTCCCCAGTGGTACTGTGGATCGTTCTTCCTAGTGACAATGACTTTCACCAGTAGTACTGTGGATCGTTCTCCCTAGTGACAATGAATTTCACCAGTAGTACTGTTGAAAAACTTTATAACTAAAACAACATTGTATGACACTTTTTAACCACGGAAAACTTTCTGAACTAGGTATTGCCATTCGTCCTTCCTAGTGACAATGATTTTGCCAAGTGGTACTGTATATCGTTCTTCCTAGTGACAATGACTTTGCCCAGTAGTACTGTATATCGTTCTTCCAAGTGACAATGACTTTGCCAAGTAGTACTGTGGATCGTTCTCCCTAGTGACAATGACTTTCACCAGTAGTACTGTGGATCGTTCTTCCTAGTGATAGTGACTTTCACCAGTAGTACTGTGGATCGTTCTTCCTAGTGATAATGACTTTCACCAGTAGTACTGTGGATCGTTCTTCCTAGTGACAATGACTTTCCCCAGTGGTACTGTGGATCGTTCTTCCTAGTGACAATGACTTTCACCAGTAGTACTGTGGATCGTTCTCCCTAGTGACAATGACTTTCACCAGTAGTACTGTTGAAAAACTTTATAACTAAAACAACATTGTATGACACTTTTTAACCACGGAAAACTTTCTGAACTAGGTATTGCCATTCGTCCTTCCTAGTGACAATGATTTTGCCAAGTGGTACTGTATATCGTTCTTCCAAGTGACAATGACTTTGCCCAGTAGTACTGTATATCGTTCTTCCAAGTGACAATGACTTTGCCAAGTAGTACTGTGGATCGTTCTCCCTAGTGACAATGACTTTCCCCAGTAGTACTGTGGATCGTTCTTCCTAGTGATAGTGACTTTCACCAGTAGTACTGTGGATCGTTCTTCCTAGTGATAATGACTTTCACCAGTAGTACTGTGGATCGTTCTTCCTAGTGACAATGACTTTCCCCAGTGGTACTGTGGATCGTTCTTCCTAGTGACAATGACTTTCACCAGTAGTACTGTGGATCGTTCTCCCTAGTGACAATGACTTTCACCAGTAGTACTGTTGAAAAACTTTATAACTAAAACAACATTGTATGACACTTTTTAACCACGGAAAACTTTCTGAACTAGGTATTGCCATTCGTCCTTCCTAGTGACAATGATTTTGCCAAGTGGTACTGTATATCGTTCTTCCAAGTGACAATGACTTTGCCAAGTAGTACTGTGGATCGTTCTCCCTAGTGACAATGACTTTCCCCAGTAGTACTGTGGATCGTTCTCCCTAGTGACAATGACTTTCACCAGTAGTACTGTGGATCGTTCTTCCTAGTGATAGTGACTTTCACCAGTAGTACTGTGGATCGTTCTTCCTAGTGATAATGACTTTCACCAGTAGTACTGTGGATCGTTCTCCCTAGTGACAATGACTTTCACCAGTAGTACTGTTGATCGTTCTTCCTGGTGATAATATTTCCCCAGTAGTACTGTGGATCGTTCTTCCTAGTGACAATGACTTTCCCCAGAAGTACTGTGGATCGTTCTCCCTAGTGACAATGACTTTCACCAGTAGTACTGTTGAAAAACTTTATAACTAAAACAACATTGTATGACACTTTTTAACCACGGAAAACTTTCTGAACTAGGTATTGCCATTCGTCCTTCCTAGTGACAATGATTTTGCCAAGTGGTACTGTATATCGTTCTTCCTAGTGACAATGACTTTGCCCAGTAGTACTGTATATCGTTCTTCCAAGTGACAATGACTTTGCCAAGTAGTACTGTGGATCGTTCTCCCTAGTGACAATGACTTTCCCCAGTAGTACTGTGGATCGTTCTTCCTAGTGATAGTGACTTTCACCAGTAGTACTGTGGATCGTTCTTCCTAGTGATAATGACTTTCACCAGTAGTACTGTGGATCGTTCTTCCTAGTGACAATGACTTTCCCCAGTGGTACTGTGGATCGTTCTTCCTAGTGACAATGACTTTCACCAGTAGTACTGTGGATCGTTCTCCCTAGTGACAATGAATTTCACCAGTAGTACTGTTGAAAAACTTTATAACTAAAACAACATTGTATGACACTTTTTAACCACGGAAAACTTTCTGAACTAGGTATTGCCATTCGTCCTTCCTAGTGACAATGATTTTGCCAAGTGGTACTGTATATCGTTCTTCCTAGTGACAATGACTTTGCCCAGTAGTACTGTATATCGTTCTTCCAAGTGACAATGACTTTGCCAAGTAGTACTGTGGATCGTTCTCCCTAGTGACAATGACTTTCACCAGTAGTACTGTGGATCGTTCTTCCTAGTGATAGTGACTTTCACCAGTAGTACTGTGGATCGTTCTTCCTAGTGATAATGACTTTCACCAGTAGTACTGTGGATCGTTCTTCCTAGTGACAATGACTTTCCCCAGTGGTACTGTGGATCGTTCTTCCTAGTGACAATGACTTTCACCAGTAGTACTGTGGATCGTTCTCCCTAGTGACAATGACTTTCACCAGTAGTACTGTTGAAAAACTTTATAACTAAAACAACATTGTATGACACTTTTTAACCACGGAAAACTTTCTGAACTAGGTATTGCCATTCGTCCTTCCTAGTGACAATGATTTTGCCAAGTGGTACTGTATATCGTTCTTCCAAGTGACAATGACTTTGCCCAGTAGTACTGTATATCGTTCTTCCAAGTGACAATGACTTTGCCAAGTAGTACTGTGGATCGTTCTCCCTAGTGACAATGACTTTCCCCAGTAGTACTGTGGATCGTTCTTCCTAGTGATAGTGACTTTCACCAGTAGTACTGTGGATCGTTCTTCCTAGTGATAATGACTTTCACCAGTAGTACTGTGGATCGTTCTTCCTAGTGACAATGACTTTCCCCAGTGGTACTGTGGATCGTTCTTCCTAGTGACAATGACTTTCACCAGTAGTACTGTGGATC